TGCTAAACTCCTGGTCACTCGGCTGATAACATGCAATACATCTCACCTTCGGGCTTGTTCTCCTACTGTCCGTATTTATCAGCTTTCAGTTATGATAACAAAAATAAATCGACCAACTCAGGAGAAGGAAAGCCTTCCTTTCCTCTTGGTTTCTGGCGCTTCGGTTCAGAGTCGTTTGGACTTGTGGAAGGAACAGAACAAGCAGTCTATAGAGAGCTCAGCATCCTTGCCTTGTTGCTCTCTGGCCACGTGACCTTGGCCTTCCTACTGAGTGTCCTACACTCTCCTGCCGCCAATGCTGTCCCCCCGCCCACCCGGCACTCACTGTGTGTTTTAAGAAACATATACTTGAGAGCACTCTTGGTGATGTACTCCACGACTCCTTGGGTTGTAATGTGATCGTTTGCTCAATGCCACTTCCGCCTCCCCGCTCTTGTCAGCCAGGGAGGTGACGTGTCTCTCTAGCTGCTACCCTTGTGACTCGAGCGGTGTCTCTGCACCTGCGACAGTTCCTCTCAGGATTTCTCACACGGCTAGGGGCGCGTGCTAGGCTTCTTCCGCACAGTCTGACTCCACGAGCCCAACTTCACAGCTGTTCTCCTGGGCAAGCCTTTCTGTCCTTTTGCTCCTGGGCTGTCTCTGTGGGCATGCTGCCAATGCCCAAGTCTCTTCAGTGCCAGCCAGAGCAGAGCCACGCTTCTCCCATCCCTAACCCCAGACATCAAATCATACACTGTCCCCTGGGGCTTGAACTCCACCCCTCCGGGCCAGGCAGGGAGAGGATGCCCAATAGCCTATCCCCCACTACCTCTTCCTATTCATAACTTTGTCACAAACCTTCCTTCTCATTCAGAAGTCTGATCCTGGTGGTGAGCACACCACAACCCCTGCACCTTAGATGGAAGCAGGAGTAGCCCTTTTAGAGTCCCCTCAAGAGAACCCAGATCTCGGTTTTGGGCAGGTGAGCGGCCGCTGAAATGCTGATGGAGAAGAACATCGTGTCCTAAGATCATCACAAGGCGATTTCAACTGAAATTAAAAGGCAAGGGAAAAGAACCCACAGAAAGTCGGCTGCCGTGACAGTGTTGGGTGAGCTGGGCCGTCTCAAACCACAGGGCTCGGCTCATTGGTGTATCTTAAAGCCAGTTTAGTACATTGTCACCAGCGTTTGAAATGAACGAACAGAGCAGTTCTTCACTCTGCGCATTAGATACCCTGCATATCAGATACTTTTATTATGATTCATAACAGTAGCAAAATTAGTTATAAAGTAGCAGTGAAATAATGTTATGGTTGGGGGTCACCAGAATATGAGGAACTGTATTAAAGGGCCACAGCATTAGGAACGTTGAGAACTGCTGGAATCGTTAAAATAGTAAAAGCCCATTCCACAGAATAAGACTATGCTTTTTTTCCATGACATCTTTGTTTCTATTCAGTAGCTGTTGAACGGTGTGAAACTGCTTGTAGGTCAAACAGCCAAATATCTACAGTGTCACCTTCTTCGCCTTAATAATACATGGACCTACTTGGTTTTAATGGAAAAATTAAGTTCCACGAATCACAATAAAAAGTTGAACAAGATAATGGATTTTTTAAAAAGGGAAAAAAAGTATTCCAGTCCCGGCGTGGAGCTCTTGGCTCATTGTGTACCCACTGAGGCCTCTCCTTTCTGTGTATTATGAAGTTGATCAGCCCATTTGATTTAATCCACATTGGGAATTGTGGGAGAGAAGACCTGTGCTAGCACAGAGTAGGTCCTCAGCTCTGCACCATTTAAATCTGGGTACAAATGCGTGTGAACTGCAGAGTTAACTCCATTCCAAATAGCTGTCTGGGGTGGGGGAAGTGTATTTCTTCACAGTTTGGGAGGTTAAGAAGTCCAAAGGCCAGGGCCCATGTGGCGAGGACCTTCTGACTGGACAGTCCACGGATAAGGCAGAAGAGCAAGAGATCAAACTAATAGCTTCAAACCCATTTATAAGTGGCACAAACCCTCCCATGAGGGTAGAGCCTGCTAACCTAGACACCTCCCACTGGGGCCCATTTTCAAACTCTGCCAATGCTGTGAGTTCAATTCCCGACGGAGGCTTTTGGGAGGACACATTTAAACCACAGCAGCCCCTCCAGCAAAGGAGGAAGAGGAAGAAGAAGGGGGAAGGAGAAGAAGCAACAAGAAAAGCTCGTCGTCCAGGAGTAGGAGTCGGGAAGAAGCGGATGTGGGGACTCAGATGAGATCCCTGAGTCTCCAACACTCCCAGCACTCTGCTGGTCTACTTTCCTTTCAGGGCGGAGTTCTCCCGCTCAGCAAGAAGAGAGGGGATCGTTGGGGCCCACAGACCACATTTATCTTACCCCACCCATGGCCCATGTGCAGTTCCAGATGGAAAGTCAAACCCAGCTTGCAGCACATGCTCTTCCGGGAGTCTTCCTCTACGAGAAGATCAGGTAAAAATCAGCTGGGCATAAGCGCCTCCCCCCCCCCCCCCCCCCCGAGGGTGGGATGTTGCAATCGGCCATTCTAGCCGAGACAAGAGTTCAGCACTGGGGCAATTCCGAGCGTGAGGAGTTATTGGCTGCAGAAGCAAGAGGTGAAAAGGGGGCAGACCAAAGCATCCCATGTCCACCAGCACAAGAGGAGTAAGAAGACTGGAGGTGGGAGCCTGAGGCATTATTTTTCAATATGGAGTGTTTAAGATGTCCTTCCGCACAATAAACAGGGCAGGGGTGGTGAGCAAAACCAAACAGGCTAGGTGTGAAGCACAGCTCTTGTAAAAAAAAAAAAAAAAAAAATTAAAAAAACCTCTGGTCACAGTGATGAGCTGAAGCAGGACAAATGAAGAGACATCCCCCCTCCCCGCCCCCTGCAAGTCAGGGTTTCTCTGTATTAGCCCTGGTTATCCTAGAACTTGCTGTAGACCAGGCTGGCCTCAAACTCACAGTGATCCACTTGCCTCTGCCTCCCAAGTGCTGGGTTTAAAGGCGTGCACCACCACTGCCCGGCTAAAGAGGCGTTCCTTTATGAAAGCGTGGAGAACACACCCATCATCGAAAGGTCAGAAAAGAGATGGGATCCAGGAAGATGTAGGGCTCTCCGGAAAGTCACTTCAGCCCCGAGAGTGCAGCATGCAGGTGAGCAAGTGGGTAATCCCACCAGAGGAGTGGACACTGGATCCTGGCCCTGGGGAGGAACTAGATGGTTCTAGTGCACGCCATAGACTTGGCCCAGCAGAGAGCAGGGTGACACAGGGACTCCAGCTAACAGCAGGTCCACTAGAAAGGCTACTTGGCTGGTGACTTTCCTCCCAGGCTATCTTAGCACACAGCAAATAAGCAAAATAGCAGATGAACTTTCCAGACCAAATTCCAACCAATAAGGAAGCTGCGACAGTGATGTGGGAGCAGGCATGGCTGCAGTGAAGGGGAGCTTCGTGGGAGAGAGGACCAAAGTTGTTCACAGTCAGTTTTCGGTTGCAGAGGAAGATAACGGCTGGACAGAACCAAAGATTCTCTAGGGTAACAGACAGATGTCTGAAATATTTCAAAAGTTGGGTGTGATTTCATGACTAGGACAAGCTGGAAAGGACCAGTGTGCTCTTTAAAATATGTCATTGGTAATGGACACCCATGGAGCAAAAAAGATGCTGGTGTCTGAAGCCCAGAATCAGGGCCATTCTTATGATGTTGACTTCATTTTCTGTTCATAGTGGAACTAAATTTTCTAAAACTAAATTTTTACCTTCCTGTTACTCCATAAGTGTATGTCTACAACCATGGACAGGAGAGAGAGAGAGAGAGAGAGAGAGAGAGAGAGAGAGAGGATAGATAAATAGATACATGATAGATAGATGATGATACATAGATAGACAGACAGATAGATAGATAGATACGTACATACATACATATGTACATACATACATAGATACATAGATACTTAGATAGATGGATAGATACATAGATAGATAGATCTATAGATAGATAGATAGGTGATAGATACCTAGATAGATAGGTGGCAGATAGATAGATAGATAGATAGATAGATAGATAGATAGATAGATAGACAGAGAGATGATAGAGCTAGATCAATCCTCCAACAACTAGATTGCTTATTTGCCTAACTTCTTTCTCTGCTACTGTCAGGGAATTCAGGCAGCCACCAGCTTTACCACCATACTTGGGTTACCACACTATATTTAGAACATAATGTTAAAAACTTATTTGTCATCTGAAAGACAATTCATTTGGACACCTGCTTTTTGTTTCAGATTTTGCTTCTGTGCCTGAACTAAATCTGAAACTGTACCCCTCTCACCCTTACCCTCCCTCTGGGAGGTGAGACAATGGTGAAGAATCTTAGCAGGGGATGTGACAAGGGGCCCGGAGTATCCGTGGGTGCGGCATCTTCACAGTCAATCAACCACACTTGAAAACGATTTTCTTAAATTCCATCTGCGCCAACCATGTACAGACTTTCTTTTTTTCTTGTCATTATTCCCTAAACAATGCCGTATAGCAGCTGCTGTGCGGTGGGTTGTGACCAGCATTTTAAAAGATCAAATGGGATAGAACAGAAATATTAGAATGCATTATACATAAGGCTAAGTATTGCTTCATGACATTTTACATATCATTGGCCTTGTATTCAGTTTTGTAAGGCATCTAGAGATGACTTAAAGTACTCAGGAGGATGTGCACAGATTACATACAAATAACACGCCTCAGACAATCAGGGTCCTTAGCATCCTCCGACTGGGACTCCATGCTGGATCCTGGAACTAGTCTCCCACAGACAGCAAGGGGCAACTGAGACTCCAGGCTCTGGGGAGTCCCCAGGTGGCAAGAAGTGGGTAGCAACAGTTCCCACCATGAGCCTTCTCTATGCATTTGGAAGTTCCTCTCCTGATCTCACCCGCCCACTCACTCTGGCTGATGGGGGCGATGGGGAGGTTCCTAGTGTTCTGTTAGCTCTGCCACTCCAGCTAACAAGCCTTAGAGCTGTGGGGAGACAGAGCCTTGGCCAGAGCTCTCAGAGAAGGGGGAGCTGCTTCCATCTCCCACCCCACCGCTTTTCGCCACGGAGCGGATGCCTTTACTGCTGTGGACCCTCAGGAATGCCAGGTCAGGCCTTCGCGCCTGTCAGTCAGCGCCTCCTACTTCCTCCCACAGTTTCCTCCCGGCTTCTCTCCGAGCCCTTCAAATAGTTACTGCAGCTTCCCTTTGGGCACACTCCAAGTTGTTGTGGTTTCACAGAAACGAGTGGTGTGTTGCTAAACCCAGCACTAGGCAAGACACCTGAAGAAGAGCCTCTAGGCTTCCAGGGCAGGTCTACTAGGGATGGGAGATTTCCTGGAAAACGAAGGTATTCCTTCTCGGTACTTGTGGTGGATGGTTGGTTTTAATGTCGGCTTCTCACACATTACAATCGGCTGAGTAGGAAGCCTCAGCTGAAGGAGTGTTCTGACTGCCTTAGTCAATGTGGGAAGAACCCCCAAGTGTGGGAGGTACCTTCTGGTAGCAGCCCAGATTAAAGCGGGGTGGGGGGTGGGGGTGCCGACAGAAGGAGCATCATTCACCTTCTCCCACTTGGCCTCTCTCTTGCAGATACTTTATTCCCCCTTTTGCAGCTGATTCCTCTGCTGATGTCAGACCCAAGATTGCCAGACTTCCCTCATTAACTAAGGACCAGATGCTCCTCAGGAACCTTCGAGGTCTGTGGCACCACCTTAGGCCGGCTGAGGTATCCAGCCCTGTGGACTGAGGAATTACCTGCTGTCAGATCGCTGCGTTTGATACAGCCACTATGGGACACCGCCATTGCTGAGACACACAGCCTCAAGGATGAACAAGCCAGTAAGTGGTATGCCCTCACCGATTCTGCTTCGGTTCCTGCCTCCAGATTCCTGTTTACGCTCTTATCCCTGGTTGCTCTTCATGACAGACTTCAACCTGTAAGATGCAATAACCCCTTTCCTCCCCAACTTGCTTATGGGTATGGTGTTTTATCACAGCAACAAAAGGCAGACTAAAATGACAGTCTCTTCGGTCTACTCCCTCCTGGACCGTACATTTATTTGTTGCTCGGAACACATTATTTAAATTGTGTCTGTTCTCTCTTTAATCAAATACCCGAGTTGATGGATATAGACCATTTCCTGGGTGTCCATGATAGTCACATAAACATTTTTTCACATTTGCTGGGACAGGTTCCCATTTCCTTCTTAAGACAAGTTTTTCCCATTCAGAGCTAATAAAATAAGAATCGATCCGTTGAAAAACAAATGAAGGAGATGCTATTTGCAGCAGTTTAATAAAATGAACAAAGTCATTTGCTCTTAGGAAAGGCTCTCTCATGTGTCAGGAAGAAGCACCTGGTATAGGAGGGGTCCATGGGGGTGGATGTTTTTTAAAGGCCAGTTAGAGGAACAAATTATTGTCACTAAATTGTTTTTTAAGGAGGGTGATCAGAGTCCCTTTGATTGCTTTGGTTCCAGACGAGTGTAGTGTGTGAAGCTGGGACTCCTTATAAGGGTTAATTAAAAGTACAATGGGGGACAGGAAGATGTCTAGGAAGAAGGAAAGAAAAATCTGGAAGAACAGACATGTCTTGCTGGCACTCCATCCACACAGGGCTTCAGATTCAATACAAGTCAGAAGTGTTTGTTAATACAAAGTAAAGTGTTTCTTGAATCTTCTCTGTGGACTCTAGAAAAATGGCCTAAGTTGCTCATGGACACTTGGCAATGGACACATCCTCTTGCTAAATTCTGCAAATGGGATGTACATGGATTGAAGAAAATAAGACAGAGTTAGAGTACTGATGGATGGCTTGTGTGCACTTAACGTTTGGCAATCATTGGCAATGTTATGTTGAGAGACATTGTGCAGCCATTAAAAAAATTATGTCTGTGGGGTTTGGCATAGCAAGGGTGTTAGCCATTGTCTAGGCAACTGCTGAGTTTGTTCCCTGGCACAAACAAAAAAATTGAATGACCAGGAAAGACATAAGACCAAGCCTTGGAGAAAAGAAAAGTGATAACTTTATACATTTCTAATGAGGAAAACCCAAGGCTGGAAGCCTACTAAGCAGTTGCTCGTTCTGTGACTGTTGGTCATTTCATAGGGCCCCTGGGTCCTCCCCTTCCCCCTGTTGGTGCTCTCTAAATACTCCCCCTTGCCTTCCTGATGTTTCTCCTTGCAGAGCCTTCTGGGAACAAGAAGTCATTATGTCAGAAAGCTTGCCGTAGCTTTCCCTGCCTACCATGTTCCTCTAACTCTGATCATGGGGAGACGGGTGAGTCAGTAAAGTACTTGCTCTGCAAGCATATGGACCTGAGTTTGTATCCCCAGCACCCAGGTAAAAATGCTAGAACTTGATGTAAGGCCCTCTTGGCGAAGACACCACATATATTGATCACAGGACATAATCAAGCTGGAGCTAAGCTGAAGGCTTTGGCCCTGCGGGCTAGCTTTCACAGTGCCAGAAGATGCTATGCTGGCTGCTGGGGAAGAAAAGTCATTACCACTTACTGTGAAACCTGCAGGCTACAATAATGAACTGCCTGGTGGGTTACGCCTGCCAGTGTAATAGTGGCATGACTCTTATGGGATTAACCAACTGCTTTTTGTTAGGATGGAATGTTCTGTAGATATCTATTAGGTCCATTTGGGTCATGACATCAGTTAAGTCCTTTATTTCTCTGTTAAGTTTCGATTCGGGAGATCTGTCCAGTGGTGAAAGTGGGGTGTTGAGATCTCCCACTATTAATGTGTGGGGTTTTATATGTGGTTTAAGCTTTAGCAATGTTTCTTTTACATATGTGGGTGCCCTTGTGTTTGGGACATAAATGTTCAGAATTGAAACTTCATTTTTGTGGATCTTTCCTGTGATGAGTATGTAATGTCCTTCTTGATCTCTTTTGATTGATTTTAGTTTGAAGTCTATTTTGCTGGATATCAGGATGGCTACACCCGCTTGTTTCTTGAGATCGTTTGATTGGAAAGTCTTTTCCCAGCTTTTTATTCTGAGGTAGTGTCTGTCTTTGAATTTGAGATGTGTTTCATGTATGCAGCAGAAAGATGGGTCCTGCTTTCATATCCATTCTGTAAGCCTATGTCTTTTTATAGGTGAATTAAGTCCATTGATAATAAGGGATATTAATGACCAGTGATTGTTCATCCCTGTTATTCTTTGGTGGTAGTGTGTGTGTACTTCTCTTCTTTGGGGTTTATTGCTGTGGCTTTATCTATTGCCTGTGTTTTCGAGGGTGTATCTGACTTCCCTCGGTTGGAATTTTACTTCTAGTGCTTTCTGTAGGGCTGGGTTTGTGGATAGGTATTGTTTAAATCTGGCTTTGTCTTGGAATGTCTTGTTCATTCCGTCTATGATGATTAAAAGTTTTGCTGGGTATATTAGTCTGGGCTGGCATCCATGGTCTCTTAGTGTCTGCATTACATCTGTCCAGGTCCTTCTGGCTTTCAAAGTCTCCATTGAGAAATCGGGTGTTATTCTGATGGGTTTACCTTTATAAGTCACTTGGCCTTTTTCCTTTGCTGCTCTTAATAGTCTTTCTTTATTCTGTATGTTTAGTTGTTTAATTATTATGTGGTGAGGGGACTTTTTGGGGGGTCTAGTCTGTTTGGTGTTCTATAGGCTTCTTGTATCTTCATAGGCATTTCC